TCTCTCTGTAACTCAGTTGGTTAGAGTTCGACAACTGTCTCTCTGTAGCTCAGTTGGTTAGAGCTCGACAACTGTCTCTCTGTAGCTCAGTTGGTTGGAGCTCGACAACTGTCTCTCTGTAGCTCAGTTGGTTAGAGCTCGACAGCTGTCTCTCTGTAGCTCAGTTGGTTAGAGCTCGACAACTGTCTCTCTGTGGCTCAGTTGGTTAGAGCTCGACAGCTGTCTCTCTGTAGCTCAGTTGGTTAGAGCTCGACAACTGTCTCTCTGTAGCTCAGTTGGTTAGAGCTCGACAACTGTTTCTCTGTAGCTCAGTTGGTTAGAGCTTGACAACTGTCTCTCTGTAGCTCAGTTGGTTAGAGCTCGACAACTGTCTCTCTGTGACTAGTCTCCTGAGTGCGCTGCAGTTTCAAATTTGTTGACATTTTAACTTATCTAAATTGTGCATTTTTTATCTCTCCATGTTAGAGTCCAAGAAGGCGTTTGTTTTCATCTGTTCACGGAGTTCCACTACGAGCAAATGGCGGATTATCAAACACCAGAAATACTTCGTACCCCGCTGGAGGAAATTTGTCTGCAACTTAAGGTCAGGGCCGCCGAGAGGGAGGTGGGCAGGGGGGGTAAATTGCCCCGGGCCCCTACCTTGATAGGGCCCCAACTTGAGAGCGAGAGCCTAAAATTGAGTAGGTTCTTTAAATTGGTCGGAGAATTTTTGAAATTGAGGGCCCCTTAGAGTAGCTCCACATGCAGTCTAGCTAAAATCTAGTTGGGTGACTGACTTGGGTCTAGCTTAAAAATAATGATCTCATGGGGCCCCCAGAGAAGATTAGCCCCAGGGCCCCGCGAATTCTCTCGGTGGTCCTGCTTAACGTACGCACATTTGTATCCTGTTACAGTTTGATTTCAGGAAACTTTGGCGACAAATTTTCTGAAGTATATTTTCTTGTGTCCCTGGTCATTTATCTTCCTAACATAGTCTGGTTAGTTTAACCAAGACGCTCCTGCTCAAATATAACCAGATTCCTGGTTACCTTAACCACACTACAGTGGTGTATAGAACTGAAATGATAACAAGTGGGGCTCTTAAGGGGGCGTGGAGAGTGCAATCACTAGATCACTGGGTGCAACATGATGAACGTGGAAAGTTCCAGTATTTATTTTTGGTTCTAGTAATTCTTCTATTAGTGTTTTTTGAAGAAACGACCTAACTTCGAATAAACAATTCCGATATAATTTACATTATTTCATGTTGGAGCCATATGTATGACCTAATAGTATGATCATAGTAATCAAGTACAGATTACTAACATCATTACCACATCATTTCAACACTACAGTTGCAAAGAACTTTCCAGGTTATATGAATGTGCAATCCGCAAAAATATTGGGATGTCCGCCCCCAAACCGGCATGAAATTTAGGACTACGTACCGTTGTAATGATTAAATAAATAAATAAATAAATAAGTAAACAAATAGACAATTTCACAATCCTTAATTGTATTTTGACCAAGCATTATTTCTTTAGAGTTTAAAGCTGGGAATGGCTGAGCCATTTTTGAGTAAAGCCTTGGAGCCACCTTCAGAAAAAGCAATCAAACAAGCCATTGCAACACTCAGACAACTCGTAAGTACGCTGGAAGATTTTGAACAATGCTCTTATCTGAAAAATTACGGTTGCCATGGAGCATTTTAATTATTAATCACAAAGACATTCCATAAATTGTTAACATTTTAATTCTCTATATTGGAAATTATAACATCCTAAAAACACAATTATATTGGAAATTATAATATTTGTGTTTTTTAGGAATTTATAATATAATTTTGTTTTTTAGAAATTTATAATTTCCAATAAAATTCTGTTTTTTTCAGAATGCATTTGATTGTGATGAGAATCTCACACCACTTGGCTACCATCTAGCCCGCCTGCCCGCCCATCCACGGATTGGGAAAATCATTTTACTTGGCGCCATGATGTCGTGTTTGGACCCAATTTTGACCATTGCGTCTGGCATGGCATTTCGAGATCCTTATGTTGTGCCTTTGGTATGGTGAAAATATTAAATATTTTCTATTATATAGTGTTGGGCTTGATAAAATTCTTTGAAACTAATATACGTAAACCGTTCCTTCGATATCAATGTAATCTAGTAATCATGATTCGATTCTCACCGTGGCCAGGCATATTTTTCAAGCTTGCCCGGTGTGGATATACACTCAGAGTAACATCACAAGCATAATATACGTAAACTTACATAGTATTGTATATTTGTTATATAGAACAAGGAAAGACAAGCTGATGAACATCGACGAACATTCTCTCGAGGAACGCAAAGCGACCATCTAACTTTATACCAAGCTTTCAAGGTATGTTTTACGAAGTGCCTGCACCATTTGGCGTTGGGCCCCCTTGTCAGGGAAGGCCCTTGCCCCCCGGTCTTTCTCGAGATTCCTCGAGTAACTCTGCAGCACAAAGTTAGATGGTGCCAGCGTTTCCGGGGGCTTCGCGCCCTATAGGTACCCTGTTGCTTGGCAACATCCGTGAGTCAAAAATTGTGTGAAGTTTCGTTGCGTATAAACAGTTTAAAATATTTCATAATTGTATTTTTAGAAATGGGAATCAGCCGATAGATATGGTAACGGTTATCAGTTTTGTTGGGATAATTTTCTTTCGCATTCTGTTCTACAGGTATGTCAGTCCTATATTCCGGGGGGGTCGATCACGTCGATGTAAGCCTAATTCTCATCCCCAAGGAGAAAGTCAAAGCCCCCAAATTTTTCTTTTCCCCAGGAGGTTGCGTAGGGATGGCAAATTTGTGGGAAATTGATTATCAAATTGATTAAATTAAGGTGAAATTTGAATGAAAATCTAGTTTCTTTATTTTCTTCTGCAGTTGATCAAAAACATGAAAATACAGTTTGCTGAAAATCTCTGTCAAATTGGTTTTATCGCATCAAGTGATCCAAAGCAGGATGCGGCAAATTATAACTCTAGTAAGATATTTTGACTTTTATGGAG